GGCGGGCCCGCTCCCAGCCACATTCCTCGGTGCTTAGCGTACGGGCGCGGCCTAAAAATAGCGCTGCTGCTGCTGCTGCTGCTCAGTGGGAGCCGGATAAATGGCTCGGGAGGGGCTCTCGGGAAGGCGCTGCAGAGGAGGCCAGGCGGGGATGGCGGAGAGAAGGGGATTCTCTTCTGGCTGCAGTTCGCACTGACGGCCCGTGTGTCGGCTTGAAGGGTTAAGGAAAGTAGAAGGAAACAGCCTGCGATGAGAAGCAGAATTTTATTCAAGAATAAAGTGCACTAGATATGGTTTGGACGCGTTTCGCAAGGATCGCAGAGGAAGTTTACAGGCAGTGTCCGCTGCACGTGTGATTTGAAAACTACTGACTTGCATGAATACAGATGTAGGCAGGCGCTGTAAGGAAGCATAAAGGAGGAGCTCTTTATTTTCTATGGACCTCTTCGTAGGATTTAGCCAAAGGAAGGCTGAATGTTTGTGCCTGCTGAGATTAAGCACCTGTTAGGAAAAGGTGAAATATAGGCAGCATCTCTGCTTAGAGATGACATTCTGCCACTCCTTGAGTAATTGTTGTAGCTTCGAAACCTGGCATCTTGAGCAGTTCTGTGTCTGGGGCACAAGAGCAAACATAACATGCCTACCAGAGGAACTATAAGGTATTAGCTTGATGTTTTGCAGAGCTTAGGCAGAATGATTGTAATGTTCTGATCCAAGAGGGGAAAATGCAGCAACAACAAAAAAAAATCCATAAAGAAGTACAGTGAAGGTTTTAGGCCATTATCATGAGTCTTGCCTAGAGCATGACAGCTGTTACAAAGGAGCTGTATAGTAGATTTCTGACTGACACTTAAGTCACTGCGAGTTGGTCCAGATGTCACAACATCTAAGATAGTCAAACATAAGCCTGTGATAGAGAATTAATTTCCTAACATTCTTCTTAAAAAAAAACAAGAACCAAGAGAATTGTAACATTCCATGTTGCAACTATGTCTTCCACATTAAACTGATAACACTGAGAACGCTTATACCAGGACGGTGCAATCCACACTGCATTAAAATGGTCTTGTCACTGAACTTTATGGAAAGAAGCAACTATTAAAAAAAACATTCTAAGTGCATATGTGCTTGTGGAGTGATGTGGAGAGGGAGGCATTTTGTGTTCTATGCTCACAAGCAGGTGGCTTTCAGAATGAAGTTTTGCTTTCATCAGGGAGGAGATTGACAAGTGAAAAAGCAGTTTCTGTCCTGGCTGATGCTATTTTTAAGGACTGCTGGCAGAACTGGAGGGGGTTTTCAAGAGTTGTGTTCCCATACTATAGCATTGCTATACATCTGGCTGGACAAGGATTTCAAATAAAGCGGATCTCCCAAGCACATGCTGAGCTCTGGCTGGTCTTAGAAGCTTTTTCTGCTTTTAGGAGAACAAGGAATAGGTGTTGCAGGACAGGGGACTGTGACTGCTTCTCTGCTCTATCTTCTATCCCACTGTGCTGTAGATTCTGTATATCATTCCAAAGAGACTGATAGAAAAAAACACCACAGTGAAAGAAGACTTTAAGTGCCCACAGCTGAGATTTCTACTACTAAGATAATAAGGAAAACTTCCCAATCACTGTAGATAATTTTTCAAAATTGATTCACTGCATGAAACTTATTTATCACGCCAAAGGGGCTATTTCCATGTGCATGTGCAAGTTAGCAAAGAGATACGGGGTGGATGTGGTGA